ATGTGCTCTAAGAATACATTGGGTGAATGTTTTTAGTTCAAGGCGTCATGTGCACTGCCACCAACAATCTCCGGTCAGTCAGATGCTGAGGTCATATGTGGTGAAAGACCATTTAAGAACTGCAGTTACGGTTAGAGCTGGCCAGAATTATACATAACCTGGAGTCCTGACCCAGGGCAAGAAAGTCCCTGCGTGACTTTATCAAAAATAATTCCCCTTTTGTTCATCTTTTCCAGGAAGACAGTCGGGGCTGGCTTTGGCACGAACATTTGCATTTGATTGTATAACACTAGACACCCTTTTTTTTCATGCTTCTTTGTGTTTTCCAACAGTGACATGTTTCACTTGCACAGCTGTTGTCCTTCTTTAATATCACACATATAGTGGCAGCTGATATGTGTGCATGATTGTATGCTTAATGGTTCATAATCCCTTAGTAACTCCTATCTGATGTAATGGCTTGTAATGTGTACGTAATACCACTGAAACTATTTATAGACCAGGAGCCAAAATGCAAAGAGATTGGTGTGTGTGTGTGTGTTTTGTTGCTGGGCGTGCGCACACATGCTTGCATGCTTAAGTTTCCCTTTGTTTTCTTGTTCTTGTCGAGTCTCGCCATGTCATTTCTTGTCTTCTCTGTGCAAGGGATCTGATGCGTGTGCACAAAGGGTAATGAAGGCCAAATGAGTGGTATCTGCTTAGTAATGTGAGTCCGTGTTTCTTAAAATGTTTATGCACGAGCTAGCACATCTGGGTGCCTGCGTGTCTGTTGGAGTGTGTGCGTATGCTGAAGCTTTCAGTTTCTCCCTGAGGGATTACATCACAAGCAGTTATCAGACCTGAGTCATCAGAGTGGTTGAGAGGCCCAGCTCTGCTGCCTCGTGTTAAATGAGGCCTTGTTTAAAAGTACTGAATTATCTTTTTTTGTCATCTCCGTGAATGCCAAAATAGCTGTCCTCTTGCTTACTGGTGTAGAAATGTCACCCTGTAAAAATCCATAGTTTGAGTTTGATTTTATTTTCAAATACTGAAATATTAGCTCTTCTGGTTCTACATAGAGTTTAGCTTTAGCTCATCTGTCTGGAGACGTTCTACTCCTCTAAACTGAGGAAGTTCTCCGTGCTGTCTGGAATGGATCAGGGCTTCAAACAGTCCCACTTCAAATAATGTGAAATACTTGTTTTTCTCTCAAACTACTAAAATATTCCTCACTCAATGGGTAACATAACATGAAAATGATCTAATATCATCTCTGGCTTATCTACACATCCCTATTGGCTCCAAACCCCAGCATGATAACAGCTAAATATTTAACTTGAGACACGGATATGTTGGTCCACAAACCTGTGGACTACTCTATGGTAGCAACTTGTATGTTTTATGTGCTGTTTACTCCTACCAGCTGCCTACACTCTATTCAGTTTTTCCCCCCACCACGGAAGCCCTTGTGTGTTAGTTTGATCTTTTGTTTTATGCATTATGGTTATATAATCTATATTTTAACAACAGCAGATTTTTCAAGTGGCTTGGGTATAAAACTACACTATATTAGATCGTACCTTTAATTAGGACTTATCTTAATAATGTGAATCACACAGACTGGAGGGTTTAATATATACACTACACTAATACACACTACAGAGGCAGGAACTGTAGTTAGTTTGAACTCTTTCATATGTTTTCAATCACATTTGTTTCTTTAAATCCAGAATTATTATTTCCTTCTTGCTGCACACCATTTTTGTTCCGGCTTTAGTGAGGGATACTAGATGACTGTATTAGGCGGCTGAAGGTTCTTGCTATCCTTCAGAGCAGAACAAGCATTTCCAGCTGATAAACTGACTTAACCCTTTATGCAACCGACAACACTTCAGCCTTAATTGTGGCGAAACAAAGACTATGACGCAAGCTCTGCATTATGACAGTCCCATCGTTGGTATTTTGAATAGAAACAATAGTTAAACCTGTTGAACCTCTCATATTATACCAGGTCATTGTATTGAGATTCTGTGCTGGCTTGCTGTGGTATAAAAGGACCAATAGAAATCCTGATTTAAAAAAACATTTCCTGCTTGCTAAAGGTAGGCGTGGGATTACATTTCAAATTTCTCGGTAACCAGCTAGTGTAAATGATGGGACATTGTGTATAAATCTCTTTCGCACCACTTGTGATGTGTGCAGTCTTCTTTGGGCTTTCCCCTCGTCGGGGGGAAAACAGCTGTGCAGGCTAGATGTGTAGTTAACAAGAGACCGTATTCATACTACACATTCTGCTGCAGTGTGTCACCATACTGAGTCTCTCCCTCCGCTTCCCACTCTTTTTCCTTCACTTCTCACATTAGTGTGTGTCAGTTTCTCCCTTATCCCACACACTCACCCACATACAGTACGTGCCTCTGTGCATGTGCAATTGTACACTTCCTTTTCTCTTTTTCTCTCTGCTCTCTCTCTCCCAGCCCAAGACTTCCTCCTTTCATCCCTCCTCAAAGTTCCCTTTGGTGGTAGTTCTTGTTGTCTCTTCAACTGCTTCCCCTTTTACCACTATTTCCTTGTGACTGCTGTGGCTTCTTTTACTGATTACACCTCACCCACTCTTGCATAAATGCCCAGACCTTTCCTTCCTAGGAATAATGAAGTTGCTTCGAGGGCAACTTACGGTAAAGCTCTTTTTGCTTCCCCCAGACGGGGTGTGTCAAAGCTTTTGACCGTCTGATGCTGTATTAAATATCAGAGTTTAAAGGAGGGGTAGGGGGCTGAGAATATGTGAGTGTACGTGTGTGTGTGTTCCCCTCCCCAGCTTTTTTGCTCTTTGGACAGAAAATAATGTTGACATGAAACAAAGCAGCAGAGACAGGGCAGAAGTTTGAAATCCTTAAGAGCTGCTAAAGTCCAGCTTTGTTTGATTTCATTTGCTCTGTAAAGAATCCTGTTACTTGCAGTAAGATCGACTTGCATGCGAGTTCAAAGTTAAGCCACAGGAAGGGAGGAATAGTGTGGAGGGAAGAAGGGAGGATGGGAGGAAAGAGGAATGAGAGGTAAAGGGGCAGAGGAAAACACGCAAGCCAACAAGCTGACTTGAAAACTTGGAGGCAGGAGGAGCAACACGCCCTTCTCAAATGATCCCTCATGCGTCGAGCTCGAAAAAGAAACTGAGGCAGAGACCTTCAAGTAGTCTGAAAAAGTTGGCTGTGTCTGTGCATGACTGTATGTCTGTGTGTCTGCCGGTGTGTGCGTGCCTCTCAGGGTGTGTGTGTGTGTGTGTGTGTGTGCCTCTGTGCGCCTAGGTCTGTGTGGGAATGATTACATCAGCCTGCTGGAGCTTTATGATTGGTTGTTGAGCGTGTGGTTTGATTCAGTGTGCCTCGGAGCTGGTGACTGAGGCTGTAACCCTTTGTGAGGGGGAGGGAGAGGGAAGGAAAGAGAGGAAGAACGATAGTTGTCAGACTGAGCCGGCACTGGAAGCGCTGTACTGTACCTGCCGCCTGCCATCCACTCGCAGACTGTCTCTGTCTCTGTGCACACGCTCTGGGTCACACAGGCCCTTCTTCTCCTTTCTTGTTTGATTTTTTTATGCCGCCGGCGGCCTGGAGATAGACTGAGGCTCAAGCTATATTACAGGTAGCACAACTGTCAGTTGTTGGCCAATTTTTGTCTTCCTTTCTGAGGGAGACAAGGCAGCAAGCTTTTCCGTCTTAAGGACTGCGTGCGACTGAGTGTGCATGTGAGTTCCAAAAATGCCTTCTTGTTCCCCGGATTGTTGCCTACTGCGGGCAGTGGAGGTAAGAGCACTCTTTTTCTGGGTCTAAGCCCTCTCCTTTTCCGTCTCTGCCTCTCTTTATCTCCATATCTTCTTTCCAGTTCGACATTGCTTCTGGTCAAAGTATAACCATACACGAGAAAAAGGAAATGAGAAATCTGTGTGTATAGACCACGAAGGTCCATTTTGCCTTTCTGAGATGTGACTAATGTATTCAAAGAGTGAAATATGTCAGCCGCTCGAAATGATTGAAGCTTGTCTTGAGTTCTTTTTTTGAGGGGGAAGCCTCGGGCCTGTTTTTTTTTTTGCAATCTGTGACGCTATAATCCAGATCTTTGCATTGGAAGAGAACAGAATTTCTTTGTGATGATGCATTGTAGGAGAAGCATGCATACATTACATGTGAAGGCTTAGTACACTGGATTCCTGCGGAGGCTAATGAAGCTGGATTCCTCTGTAGGTTAAGTAGGCTGCTCTAGTTTTCTCTGAGCCATTTGATACGTATATCCTGTGAATCCTTGTCGAAAGAAATTAATAGACACTTTTCAGAGGCTAAACTTAGGAAACTTTCCCTTCATATAATTAGCATATGTACAGTTGCCTAACAGTGTAGATTAAAAAAAAGAAATACAAATTCTTCAAATGAAACGTATGTTACTGTCACACAGGAAGTGTCAATTTGCCTCGATATAAAATTCTGGATACACATTTTAAACCCCCATCACTGATTATCAAGTATGACATTTATAAATAAAAACAGATTTCCTTCATTTTGCCCTAAAACGTTGTCCAAGGTCAAGTCTACGGACTCGCTTCTTTGCTTTAAGTTGCAGCACAGAATTGACATGTAACAAGACTTTGCATTCACAACAGCACATGCTTGTTCTACACAACAGTATATTTTCTTCTACATTACAACAGCAAGATGCCGCAAAGGATGGTTGTCTGTGATTTCTAACACCACAATTACTGCATTGTCTTGGATTCTTTTCTATTGTGTGTTATAATTACAGGCTCTGTGAAGGCTGTAGTTCGCTGGTTCTATAGACTGAATATTTTTTGAGTGATCAAAGAAAATGTAGGGCTTCATCCACTTATTAGGCTGATATATATATATGTATGTGTGTGTATATGTGTTTTATTTAGTTATTTCTTCCTCATCTGTTCTGACATGGCAATATTTCAAATAACCTTCTCACAAGCCTCCTTTTTATTCTGACTGAATCATCGTTTTCTTCTCCAGATTGTGAAGATCTTCAGTGAGGACGGTGTTGGCAAGGTTGTCGAGATCCCGGCCGACATGACAGCCAGGGACCTGTGCCAGCACCTGGTCTACAAAAGCCATTGTGTGGATGACAACAGTTGGGCACTTGTTGAACACCACACGCTGTTAGGTCTAGGTAAGAGGCTAAGCTCCGCAGACCTAATACTCTGTTCAATTCCACATAAAAGCACCAATCATCGCACAGGAACAGATGCTCGCGCACGTATTTACCCACCCCAAAATCCAAGGCTGCTGGGTGGGCCAAGATGTGGAATATAATCATTTTTTTTTTTACACAGGTGCACTGTGCTGTATGTACTCATGCCATGCATGCCTGCACACTTGGCTAGGCTGTATAGGCACATATTCTCACGAAGGCATGCATTCAGGCATGAGTTCATGGGGATATTATATAGCATAAGAATGCACAGAACCATTGTTTCTAATGATCCAATCAGGCATAACACACTGGCTGCAAGAAATGACTGTGGTAAAGAGTAATGTTTTTCTACTGACAGTTTATTTTACAATCATTATTATACCTCACACATACTCTTGGTCTTTTAGAAACTGTATAAAGTAGAAATTTAGAACATGATTTAAAAAGTATGGTGTTTAGTAATGAGAATACATGTAAAGGGTATCTGCAGAGGACGCAAAAATTAACTTATAGATGTGAGTTTTACATTTTGATCTTTCCAGCTCTGGTCAGCTGACTGATGTTCGCTTCCTAAAATCAGTCATTTTTCATGATCCAAATTAAAGGTGATCATTCATAGGAACAAAGAAGATTAGACTGTTCCACTCTGCATTATTACAGGACACGCACCACTTCTTAAGCAGGATTGTTGTCAAGGAAGTGGGATGTATGGTTTTGCCTAATCTCTCACTACAAAGGTATTACATGAGGGGTTCGGGGTGTTGCTCGCAGCTGAAAAGAAGCAGCAGAAGAGGGTGATAATTGATGGTTATGGCTTGGAAGACGTTGGGGTGTATGTGATGAGCTGTGTCACAAAACCTTTCTAGACTTTCTCTTCTCGGCGACAGAGTTGGTGTAACACATTAGATCTACTGCTGTAAATAACATGTCAGGAAAGGGATGATTGATGACGAGTTTAAAAGCCTTCCATTCACTTTGGAGGCTCCTTTAGCTCTGCGGTGGAGCCTGAAAATAGACGCACTCACTGCAACGCCTGCTGACCCCCTGACTAATGTGTTGTCAAGGTGACAATGGCTTTCCCCCCTTTCAAAAATTTCTAGTATTCCACATGAAGGACAAAGTTCAATGTAAAGAATTCAGTTTAAGCATGTTTTAAGACGCTGCTTGGTCATTTTAAAAGGTGTTGCGTTGTTTCTTGCTAAACTTAGCGCCCCATTTGCTAAAAGCTGAACTCTCACTGTTCTGAAAAACAATAAATGTTCAAACTACCTGTAATTTAGTATTCATTTTGTGCAAAAATGACATAGAAACTCCAAACTGTAGGAACAAATGCCTTGAAAATAAATGTACCGGTACTTGATGTCGCTGCATCTTAGGAAACAAGCTGTGAGCTTGATTTTGTGTTAGACTTGGCCGTATAATAGTGGCTTTGGAAATTTGCGGCCAGCTAAACGTTTAAAAAAAAAAAAAAAAAAAAAAAAACCCAGCCTCCCCCTCAGGAGAGGGCGATTATAAAGCACTTATGGAAGACAAGTTGAGCCCGTGCCCTGTTCTCATGTCTGCACACTTAAACAGATGTTGGAGAGAAGTGGGTGACATTTCATACAGAGCAGTGTTTCTGGTAGTCAAACATGGTTTAAAATAATTCAATTTCTGCTGTCTCAACTTAAAAACTTGCACCAGGGAGTTTTTGTTTTAATTTTCCTAAATTATTAAAGGGTGATGTTCTTTATAAGCCAGAAAACATTCCAATATGCACACAGTTATGTACACCGATAAATATTTTGCATCGTCTAAGTATAAGTCTCAAAGCTCTCACCTAATATGTCGCCATCTGTCATGATATGCTTGCTTTTCTCATGCCTGCTGCCAACTCAATACTCTTAAATACAGTTAGGTTGGCTGGCGAATGACATCATTTTTGGCTTGGACTAGCTTTTTTCGATCATAGTTCTACAGTGGAGCACCTGAGCAGCAGCCGTATTCTTTCATGGTCTACAACAACCTTCCATTGTACTTAGTTTAGAGGTTTCAGTAAATTACACAAAGCAGGGGAGAATGTAGTGTTCATATTTGACCTGAGAAAAATAACCATCTGTGTCTGTAGAGGTGTACGCATGTGGTTTTGTGGACTAAAAAAATTACTAATCTGGATTGAATTCTCTCTTACAGCATTTGTTATATGTATGTGTACTATGTGCCGTCTATGCCCGATATGCCTCATTTCGATTTTAAATGCATCACAATGAATTGAAAATACTCCATGTGTTCAATGTGGTTTAGATTTTTTCCTTCACGGTTCTGCTGAGATTACTTTGCCAATATTTATTGATTTTGTATTTAAAAGTCTACATTCAGTGTTTCAATCGAATCAATAATTGTTCATTGTCCGTCCGTCAGTCAGACAGACCTCTGACTGAAGTCATTTTTCATGCATGTGCCTACGTGAGTGTGCACAGATTATATTTAAGCACTGCACATATATGTACCCCTGTATTTAGAATGTGCACATACAGTGTTAGGTTAGAGAAGTTTAGAAGAACAATGCAGTGTGTGAACAGATTGCACAATTCCCACACTTTGTCGCCCATTCCTGGTAAGCGGGTGAATGGGATGAAACAGCCATTTGAGATAAGTAACACTGACCTCTGCTTACTAGTTTAAAAAGGTTAACAATTATTACAGAGAGAACTACAACCATCAGGGTGAGTCGTGGTCTCTTACACGACTGACTCATCAGACAGATGAGTCAGAAATACATTAGTCGTGACGGGGCGATGAACAGGAAGGGCTCTGAAATGAAAAGATAATTCACTCCTCTAAAGTTTCCGCACATAAAAAAGTGTGCCAGTGGTTTCGCGAATGCTTAAGATAAGTTTTGCCTTTAAATCAAATGTATTGCGAATACGCATGAGCGACACAGTGCTGGAACTGACTGAGGAATGAGAAGTGTCCATCTGTACAGTTAGAGAAAGTAAGCGTTCATATAAGGTCACATGTTGAGTTGGATGAGTACCCCCCCACCAAACTCATACTAAGAGGCATTCGCTTCAGCATGAATGGTCACAGCTGTTTGATGTTCACAAATCAATTAAACTAGTCTACAATTGTAGGTCATCTTAGGCTACTGAGCACATCAAAAGAAACTAGGAATTTGTTAGAGAAAATCTGTGACCCGTTGGGGCACCAGTTTGAATTCATTATTGGCTAAAATTGCACATGATCGTAATGTGCGGTGACACCGTTCATATCTATGCCTGTGCTGGAAGTGCAAGTCTGTAACAGCGCTATTTTATTGTTCAGCTTTTAAACTAAAAATGCACTGATTGTAAGAAAAGCTTGATTTGCATTCAGAAAATGAAGACTGAAAGCTTAAATTTGGACCAAATCCCTAAAACATAGTGACTGGGCCTTTTCATTATGTGTTTTTTTTAATCTGAGATTTCCATTTCTGATTTATGAGAAAGGATTGTCCCTTTCTGTTAATATACAACTGATCAAAAAATTAAGTGTGGGGTCTTTTATGAGTGCTGTGTGAGTCCATGCTAAAATATTTAATAATACATGACTTGCTTTGTCTGCTTTATATTCTGTATGTTATTTTTACTCAAATGTAGTCACTCATACTTGTGCTTAGATTTTTCACTTTGAATTCCTGTTTCCTCAGAGCGTTGTCTAGAAGACCATGAGCTGGTGGTTCAGGTCCAGGCCTCAATGAACAGTGACAGCAGATTCCTTTTCAGGAAGAACTATGCCAAATATGAATTCTTCAGAGACCCTCTGGTAATTACTTTTTCTCAGACATTGTTGGACTTGCCACATCACTCAATATGTCACTGCTTGTAGAAAGTCACACCTTAGGCACCAGCGTTGTTGCTACATTTCCTGCGTTATTTGGCGTCATTGCTTCCAAGAAACTGACTAGCTAGTGTAATGTGTGGCATTATTACACAACAGCTCAGTCAACGTAAGAGGGAGGCATAGCTCTAACAGTTTTTATTTTCCATGCAGTGTGACCTGTTGTGACAGGCATGCATCTGACAAAGTGCCCGTCTTCTCTCTGTTTTCTTGGGAAATATTATGAACGCCTAACGCGCTGACATTCGCATGACGTCTTTCTGTCACAGCATTCCTGCCCTATAATTACTGTCACAGTCACTGACATTCTGTCTCTCTCCACCTTTCTGCTCCGACAGACATTTTTCCCAGAGCACATGGTTGCGTGGTGTCAGGAAACCAATCATACTATTCCACCATCTCAGCTCCTTCAGGTACACACTGCACGCACTCCTCTCTCTCTCTGTCTGTGGGTCTTTGATTGTCACTCCTCCTGACGTGCACACAGTCTCGTTTGCCTCAGAGTCAGCACCTGCTGCATACTGTACAATCAAGCTGGCATACCTCACCCCTGACCCTTAGACAGTGTGTCTTGTCAAACCCAGCTATTATAACTACTGTTGATCCCCTGTTAACACACGACTATCTCACACACACTCACACATATCTCACAGCACATAGTTCTTCATATACCTGAAGTTTGTTTAAAAAAAAGAGCGGATTTGAACACATGTGCCACATCTACCTTCATGTGCCTTAAAGACCACTCCTTGAGACTTTTGAGGCTCTTTGGTCTTAATGGATGAAGGTTGAAATGGAGTCTGGTTCTCTTGTATCATGTAATGAGGCTGTCAGAGAAAGAGCCACAAGTGGAATCCTTCTCTTCATCCTTGCCACTCACGCAAAGCTTTTAACTCCCCTGCTGATCTTATAGATGTGGTGCTCGACGTAGAATGGGAATGGGGAGAGCTGGAGCCGCGTCAGTAATTCCCTGTGTTTGACTTCTTCTAAACACAAGATCTTTGCACTCAATTAGAGCACTGTCCAAACCCAGGCGCCCGCTGAACTGAGCTCACCCAGGTGTTAGCAATATTCCACATTACGCAAGAGGCATTTGTCAAGGCACAGCAAAGCGCTGTAAGGTGGAGTGGCTCGGAAAGAGAGCTGTTTGAAATATCATTGCGTGTGAATGTGTGCTCTGCAAATGCTGGAAAGTACATGAGGCCTATCGTGAGATTAATTTTCCAAAACACTGAGAGACATGTGCTTCAAATATCGCAGAGGCTTCTGGAACAGTTTGTCTTTCAGCCACAAACCGCATTTTCAAATCGGCTCTATGAACTTGACCGGACGCTTTATGGTGTGATGTGTTTTTGAGAACACGGAAACTACAAACTACAAATTCTTGGGACATCCATAAGACAATTATGGGCTTTGAGGAGTTTCAGTAGGAATGGATTCCATGTTAGTAATCAGTATGGAATTAATTGAATTTGTTTCCCTTCTTTTGTCCCATGAGCATATCCATTCTTGGCTAGCACAAGATACAGAATTTGTTCTCAAATTTCAAGTATACAGATAACATTGTCCAAAAATAAGATGATTTTATTTATTTATGTGTTTTGTTTTGCACGCGGTAGCACAATATCTGGTTTCACTCTTGCTACTGTGGCAAATTTGAGCTTCTACCCATCTCAGCTGTCAGTCATGCTGAGGTGGCCGCCTCCTTACATTACTGCCTTACTAACAAAACAGCTAAAATGAAGTGAAAGTGAAACTAATAACTGATTTACACTTCATGACTGCTCCTCCAGAACTTCCTTGCAACCAGCAGCTGTCCAGAAATCCAGGGTTATCTCTACATAAAGGAAGTGGGTAGGAAGTCTTGGAAGAAAGTTTACATGTTTCTGCGCCGCTCAGGACTCTACTGTTCTACAAAAGGAACCTCAAAGGTGAGAGCAAGTCATCTTTCCATCATCAGATTAATTAGTTGTTATCTTCAAAGAACCGTTCTTGTATTGATGCTGGTCTCACCACGTATGTCTCTGTCTGTCAGTGCACCCTGGGGCTCTTTTTCACTTTCATGTTTTCCCTTATTAATTATATCTGTCTCCAGGAGCCCAGACATTTACAGTTACTTGCGGACCTAGAGGACAGCAACATCTTTACTGTCATCACGGGCAAGAAGCAGCATGGTGCACCCACAGACTACGAGTTCTGTATCAAAGTGAGTCTTGGATGAGAGGAGTGTGATGAAACTGGTCTGTCTCACTTTTGCCGAGGAATTTTCTATAAGCTGTGCACTTCCCTACATCAGCGCATGCATACAAAGCAGAAGTTCTACTCTGCAGCTCTGTATTCAACTGTGTGTGCTCTCAGTCTGTCAATGAGCATTTAAAGCATTATGTCCATCTTTAAAATGTCATAAAGAATTATGCCATGGTGTATCTCTAAATGAGCACTGTACTAAATGTGTATGATGTTGATTGGCAGCCCAATAAATCCAGAGGGGAGATGAAGGAGTTGAGGATGCTGTGTGCAGAGGATGAACAAAGCAGGACCTGTTGGATGACAGCGTTTCGACTCTTTAAGGTAACTCGCAGAACTCTTAAAGATGTCACTCAGCTTTCAGAACACAGCCCACTTCAGCGCATCCATTTTACCAAAGTAAATGACACATTTTTGGTGAGGAAACTTTTATTTTGTGTAAAAACATGTGCAGGGTGAGTAAATCCTGTGATAAGACTTTTTGCTTGTTTTAAATGTGTCCTTTAATAGTTTGATGTCACTGGTGTCAATTGTGCTTCTTTTTTGTCTTTTTACAGTATGGGGTTGTATTGTACCAGAATTATAAGATTCCTCAACAAAGAAAAACCTTGCTATCACACTTTTCAGGTCCTGTGGTAAGTTTGTTTTTATTGGCAGTTGAAATACAGTTACAGGTCTCTCGCTGTGGCATAATTAATTTTAAAGGAAACAGAAATTGCTGTATTAACACTTTGAGCTTGTCTTACTGCCTTTGAATTCACATTTCTGAGTGTTGTGTGTCTCTGCCTCCCTCTAGAGGAGTGTATCGGAGAACTCTCTTGTGGCAATGGATTTCTCAGGGCGGATAGGCAGGGTGATCGACAATCCAGTAGAAGCTCAGAGTGCTGCCATGGAGGAGGGGCATGTTTGGAGGGTGAGACTTGGACTTTTGTCTGATTTGAGGTCTATAAGTCAGCATGAGAAAATACACCAGTTGACACCAAACACCAGGTTTTTTAACTTTTTGGAGAGTGGAGTAAATAATCCATGTTAACATTTTTCTCAAGTGCTAGGAAACACTGTATTGCATGTGAAGCGTCTCGTGAACATGTCATGGACTAATCCTCGATTTGATCTCTCTGTGTGGCATCTCTCTCAGAAGAGGACTCAACGAATGAACGTGTTAGGTTCCCACAGTCCACTGCACCACTCCTCGCTAAGCTCGGGTAAATGTGAACGCTTGAATTAACTGTCTATTACACCCTAAAATCCTCCCGCGCCTGTTTTCACTTTGTTTTCTGTTTTCTCTGCAGTTATCCACATAGCTCAGCTGTGGTTCTACGGTAAGATAACCAGAGAGGAATCCCATCGCATAATCCACCAGCAGGGACAAGTAGATGGGTAAGTGATCTGGAGTATTTCAAATATTCAGACACTGAATACGTTTAATAAGTTTGACACTGTGATGTTGTTGCTCGTGCTGTGCAGGCTGTTTCTACTGAGAGTCAGTCAGAGTAACCCCAAGGCGTTTGTGCTCACACTGTGCCATCACCAGAAAATCAAACATTTCCAGATCCTACCGGTGAGAATCTCTATACTAAAGTTTTAGTAACTATTCAAGAGAAAGTACACTTGCTTATAGACTTTTACATCTGAACTAAATGTACTGTGTTTTGATTACTGCTGGTGTCCGTCATTAATGTTGAGAACGCTTTGGACCAAAGCTCTGTGATAATAACCTTCCAAACTGTCACCAATACTGAGGAATATATGTGAAATTTTGCTAACAAACTCCTAAATTTGAAGGTGTTTATTTATTTTTGTGTCCTGAAGCAGAGAGTCTGCTGTTTGTCCACTCTAATGTTCTTGTCTCGTGTCTGTTGGCAGTGTGAAGAGGATGGCCAAGTCTTCTTCAGCCTTGATGACGGCATAACCAAATTCACTGACCTGATTCAGCTGGTGGAGTTCTACCAGCTCAACAGAGGAGTTCTGCCTTGTAAACTCAAACACCCGTGCACCATTGTGGCCTTATGACATCATCTGATCACGTCACCCCATGACACTTGACCTGACTCTGCCTAAAACAAACAAAACAAAGAGGATCTCCCCATTGGTTGGCTCTCTTTGCATATTTCTAAGAAGCTGGTGAATTGACTGATGTTTTGTTGTTGTTGTTTTCTAATGTTGTGAGTCTGCTGGAGAGCGCTGACTGGTTGGATAACTTGCAATTTGCATGGAGGTTTGAGGAGGTTGGATGTGCTACTTGCTCATGAGCTTCCTTGCTTCAGGAAAGCGAAGATAAAGGAAATGAACACTGCCATTTGTGTCAACACCGTTGCGAAATCTTCCACAATGTTGCAGATAATATTCGTTAATAAGCAGGGGACCCCGAGGTTTCATCTTGCAGCTCAAGAAAAGACTTTTACCGTTTAACTGGACAATCAGCATGACTGTTTAGATATTTATGTGGATCACTATTTTCCTTAGTAAGAAACTGTAGTCTCTTTAAAAGTTTTGATCACATGTTCTCAAACAAGATGCTATTGATGGAGAGTTAAAATTTTTGGTTTTTACTCATTGAAATGGGGTTTGACCTTCTTTGGTATATGACTTTTCTTCTGGAGTGTTACCCAACCATCAGGGAGCCACCGGCCTTTAGTCAGAAACATGCATGGAAATGTCTAAATACAACATGGATGGCAATTGGAGTCCCTGACAGGCCTTGATTTAGATTCTTTTCAGACCGAGGCATTCAGTTATGAGGAACGTTTTAAGCAGTGTTTTCTGACAATAGAATCTGCACTGTTCCCCTTTTAGATTTATTTGCTCAGTGCTAACCACACAGGGTTTGTTGGCCCTATTATTTATTGTATCATTAGCAATGTTAATGTGCATTTAATTTGAAGGTCCCTTTTTACAGTTTGGATATTTACAATGTGTGGATCATTTACATAAACTACAACATGGCCGTTAGGTTACTTCATCTGTCTTTGGTATTTCCCCGGAAAGCTCCACAACAACAAATGCATTGCTTGAGTCATGATGTTATTCAGGGTAAAATAACTAGCAACAAAGCTACACTGCTTTTAAAAAGAAAGACAGCGGTGCTGATTGTACTGTTAAAAACTGCATTCAGGTACAGTGGAAGAAACTGGCAATTGCAGCTGTTTGTAGATATGTTATTTCTTTCATTTTACAGCAGGCAAATGCACAACCAACTGAATGAATTCAATTTAGTCACAGGTTATCTTTTTTTCTGTCATCACCCAGGGAACAGTAACCACTAGCATTTCCCTCCAGAGTTTTACCCAAACATTAGACACTCAGTCAGAGGAAACTGTCTTTGTTGGTTTGTGTCTAACAAACTGTGGTAGTGGGAAGCTTCTGTCCCAGGTCTTTGCAGTCTCCTCACGTATGTCACACACATTACCTCCTACTTGTTTTAAAGTCCATGACAAGCTTTCGACATACACAAGTCTGGAAACATAGTTTAGCATGTTCTGATTTACATTCAATATAACGTGGCCTTGTTTTCTTTTCGCCCGCGAGCTCATGTAAGCAGACACAGTACACATTTACAGACCAATGGATGACACGCTCCTCATTAAACCATATGGACTGTCCCATAAAGCCTACAGTAGCTGCTGGTACAATGTGAATGATGTGTATAAAGGAAATAAGTTTGTGAAGAACTGGATTTTGAATTGTACAAACAGTGCAACTATTTTCCCTCTCTCCATCTCATCACATTTTCTGTAGCCTGCTGTTTTTGACACATCAACAGAAAAAAATATATATATTTTGGGACTTTGTGACTGCAATAATGCCACAGGGACAATTTTGATTAGTATAAGCTAAGGCGGTCAATATGAGTTTAATGAGCTGTTTATGAGTACTATGACCATCAGCCTCATAACATACCAACATATTATGGGTTTGTGTTAAGCCTTTTCAGATTGGTACATATGGAGACACTGTAAGATTAATATAATCTAGCAGGATGATATCAAGCAGATAACACTTTAAGGCCAAAATCAAGTTATTCCAAACTCTTTGAGGATGTCAGTAAATGCTGTGGGATTTCTCATCAATGTGTGTCAATTACCACAAGGCACTGACCGTGTTCAGAATGACCTGCTCTGAAAGCTTTCCCCTTAAAAAGCAGTTGTTTGTCTTTCTTTAACTCTCCTCCCCTACTCCTGTCATTTTTAAAAGTCTTTGTCAGAGGTTTGGTGGTTTCCTTGCTTAGTTGAATAGACTTGAAATTATTAGGAATCCATGCTTGCAAATATCAACAGCCATCTTTTATTTACCAGCTTGTTTTCATACGGTGTGATAAGCATCTCAGATGCAGAAAAGCAGCACTATAGTGACACTCTGCGCAAGGTCAACATTATTTATCTAAGAAGCTTTTTTTTTCATGCAGCAAATTGTATTTATTTATCTGGATGTGACTGATTACTTGAAACGTTTAGACTTCTGTTTTCTCAGCGCTGTTCTGTACTGTCATAACCATAAAATCATTGTGACTATTATAATTTTTAATAACATAGCCTATCTTGATGTTTTTTATTTTTGTATTTTATTTTTTATCATTATGATCTCCATGAAGTGACATCTAGAACTCTCACATCGGAAATGCCATTACGTTAAGAGACAGGTAGAATGTTGTGACGCTTAAATTGGAGTTTCCCAGAGCGTATGTCATTTAAGAGAGCTTATAAATCCTTCTTGATGAGTGTTTTTATTTTCAAGAGTAGGCGTCACACTCAAGCAAAAGAATATCACTCCAAAACAAACTGAGCCAAATCTAAAAAAAAGTCAACTTGAGCCCAAACTATAACTCATTCATTTCTATATCCTTAAACTGACACACATGTACCTAGATTGCATTTCTTTGAGAAAGTGAAATCGTAAGCTACAACTTAAAACGGCAAATGTTTTGTCTCTGCATAACACAGAACCTCAAACACAGAGCGTTTAGAGTCGTAGATCAGGCATGATGGCACAAATCTAATCTCTACAGGCAGTGAACTAAACATGAAACATGAGCTGCAAAATATCAGACAACTACCCAGAAACAGGTTGCAGCATTGGCATCAGTTTTCATCTGAAAAATGAAAAGCTAAATCATTTGCATGAATGTGCATTTAGTGTGGTGGGGTCATGCCACAGACATTGCCACCTGGATATTTGGACAAATGCTTATTTCCTAACAATGCATAATTTTTTTGCAGTGTCAAAAAAGGTTGATCATACCATAACTTATCCAAACAATGCATGTTAAAGTAGTTGCAAAGTTTTCCACAGATTCAGTCTCAGACTCAGTAATGTGACCTGAATGGTAAGAAACATAGCAGAAGCTGTCATGTGACAGACAAGTTAGGTCAGGTAACCCTTTAAGGGGGATATTCATATTTACATAAAACTCTAAAAGGAGTTATCGGAGGAGGAGTGTTAGTAAACTTTGTTTACAGTGAGGGCAGTAAATGAACACGCAGACAAATAAGATTTTTTGGGGTATGGATGACTACATATTTATACTTCAAATAACTGAATGTAATTAGGTTGCTCAGGGCAGATTTCAAGTAAACTTAAAACTAATGGTCCATTAGAAAGCCTGCCAATAAGAGAACAAATAATTAGTTTTAATGTGAGAAATTATTTGTTCACTATATCTACTACTTGTGATTACTTGAAATATATATTTTGGGGCGGGGGGGAATTCACTTCTATTCAGTCTTTATCATATGATCTACAGTATTCAACCAACATGCTGGACAACTACAGCTTACAACTGAAAAAAATGGCACCAGTTCCTAAAATGCGGACTATATCAAATGTGGTTTATTTAGTGTCATTACAACCACATCCTAATTCTAATCAATCAGAAGGTCAAAAGACCATACAATCAGTGACAGCACATTTATCTATTTACTTACGTGCTCAGATGATTTGTGATTTCTTCTTTTTCTGCATAACTGGACGTGATATTTGGACTGAATGACAGAGCATAACATAGTAACTCAGTATATACTTGATACATAAAGACAATTGCACCCTTTGAACTTGGTTAAATCTATTGGGAACTGCAATGTCAATGTGGTTTTGGAGCTCAAAATAGATCAGCCCTGAGCCTGCGAAGTTGGATTGGTCTGATCGGTCCTGAATCTTGTGCTTTTAGATAGCAATGTCACACCATGGTTGATGGTTGTACAAATTAGTTAAGTATCTGTCTCTCTCTCTCTCTCTTGCTCTCTCTCTCTCTTTATATATATATATACATATACATATATATTGAGGGAATGCTAAATTAAACAGTAAGTTGTCTCTTTTTGTAACAGAGGGCTCCTGTGTAACAAAATGTGCTTTGCTTCAATCTGTAAATAGTTGGACGGCTTATGAGTCTTAATTGTAACTTTGCAGGTATTTTTGTACAAATAAGGGACCGATATATTCTGTTTATTGTTATTAGAATAAAACATTAATACATTGATATAAAACAGCTACACACAGTGTCTGTCCTTGAGCAGTGGTGGAGCTTGTCTTTCACTGTTGGCGTGGCCAAAGTTAATTCACAGGGTGCACAGACTATGACAATGAATTTGTTTCCGGAACAATCACTTGCAATTATAGTCTTTAACGTAGAAATATATTTAAGTACATATTAATCACAGGAGATGAGATTTAGGTATGTAATTTACAGTTTATTATAACATGCACAAAATGTAAAACAACAATTTTTCAACAAACCATTTTTTCTTCAATGAAAATAAACAATTCACCCAAATGCACTTACTCACACAAAAAACGGCATCAATCAATTTTTTAAAAAGCCATATTTTGATTAAAAACATAGTGAACCTTTTAACTCAGCCTGAGGTACAGGCTGCTTTTTACTCCTCTTCTGGGGTTGGCAGACCGTGCTGACGGGGCTCTAGCGCCCCCCGCTGGCCTGGCCTCACTGCTCTTCTGGGGTTGGCAGACAATGCTTATTTTCGCTTATTGAAATTGAAAAAAATATAAAAAAAATGTAATCCATTTAAAAAAAAATCTGTAAACTAAATAACTAATATTTTTCTTTTTTTTTAAAACATAATTTTTCTCTTTAAACATTATCAACGCCATTTTGACTTCACTTGCAGTTAGTCTAATAGACAGTGAATGACGCTATGTGCTATCAAGAATGCCCCTAATAAACCAATGATCACGGGATTCTCATCCCTCGCGGCCGCATTTGGTCCGTTGCCTTGGTTACCAACAAACACACCGCACTGTGTTAGACTTTTTTTTCTTTTTTGAAAACAATTTAACACATTTAGGAACAATTGCTCCTTGAAAAAATTAATAAAACAAATATTTTTTATTTTTTAACATTCATATCCTTTTTAAAATGTCATTAACGTAATTTTCACTTCACTTGCAATTATTCTAATGGACAGGAGATGGGGCTATGTACCGGGTGTGACCATGTGTCTTATTTTCTGTGGGAAAAGTATTTTGAGAGCACTGTTAAAGTTTCATTTAAGTGGATTTTAGCTGCAGGATTTTTTATATTAAGGAACATTTTGGATGATGAAATAGAATATGATTAAGCCTAATACGCTCTGCCGGGTGCCATAAATGAGATGGCTCACACAGCAAAATGCTTACTAACAAATTAATTAAACTAAAATCTTTGATTTCCCTGAAAATGTGGAACTAGCAGTGACACAGGAAGAGGAAAATAGTGGGAAAAAGAGTTTGTGAGGGGAACACTTTAAGATGACTGAATACTGACCATCTGGGTGTCACACTTTTTGGATTATTAGTCATGCAAAGTGGGAAAGGTCCAGGGCTTAAAGTTTTTTTGGAATGATGAAGAAGACTAAGGACTTACTTGCCTGAAGACTTTCACCATGTGAGTATATAAACATTAACACAGACATTCCAACACTTGCGTCGGTGCTTATACTTTCATTAATGTATGTTTGTGTACACACTCAATGAAAAATAATACTATCCTTTGAGTTAATGCAATTGCCCTCAGATAAACACAGCCCTTGTGCTTACAAAGCTTAGTGTCTTCAGATAATATTAGAGTTCTTTATTGTCAAAGATGTTGTCAGGCCGAGACTTCGTCAAACCTTTTACATTTTTTCAATTCTGACTGCACATATTGAAGTTCACCAAATGACTTCTTTCACAGTGAACACAAATCTTTTTATGAATTCAAATTAGCTAATAAATTAAATATCTAAATGTGGGCAAATAACTGAGTTATTTTAGTAAAAGTCATAATACAAATACACTGGTTCACTGACACTTGTTAAACCTCATGGAAATTACATTCCAAGGCATTTAGGGCTTAGAAAGTTGTTAGAAAACAGAAAGACAAGAAAGATTGATGGATAGAAATAATTGGGGAAAGTTCTGAAAGAACTTAAAAAGATTAAAGGCACACATTCCCTTTAATTATTCAGTTAATAATATGTCCTACTACAAAGCTGATTTACAGGACTGACATTGGAAGTGAAGTTTTGACTGTAAAGCAAACATTTTTCTCTTAACCTCACATCTTAAGAGGAAATTTTGGGTTTATGAATTAAGATGAGTTCTTTTACCGGCCCTGTAACTACAAAAAAGGCTGCCCCCATCCAGGCAAAAATAAAGAGTATACTGTTGCAACTGCTGCAGTAGTAGTGATGCACATTCCCTCTCAAATGAGCTCCCTGAATGTTTATAGACTTCCATATGTATATATATTTGAATGTAAATCATTACAGTACTAATGATCTCCATCTTACCCTTCATTGTTGATTGTACCTTTTCTCATGAAAATAACCTTTTTTCTTTTTATCTAAGGGTTAAGTTGTTTAAAGTTTGTGCGTTTCCATTCCTCAGACTGAATAGCTATGAGTTTATTCAATTTCAATGTTTTATTTTCAAATAAGACGTAGAATTTCTCTGATTTACTAATTTCCTCCACTGTCTCTCAATATTCATTTGTCTCACCATTTGTATTAGATTTTTAACACAATTGATATTAAATGTGTTGGCATCCATGAGTGAAATTATCTCAGGTCCCATATTAAAAGATAAACCTTGTCTAATTACTGATTGTTCAGATTGGGTAATGCAGTATAATAAGGTAACGAACTGAGAGAAAACCCAGGGACACGACTAAAATGTGTATTTAAAGAAAAACACTACAGATTTCTTTAGAAATTATCATAAAACATAGAAGGGAACTGACACTCCACAAAAGTGCAAACAAATTAAATCTCCAAATCTCAAATCTATTTACCAGTGACCAGCACAACTGCACATGTGAATCATAAAACGCACCAAACAGCTCTGATTGTACAGAAATTTGCATCACCAATCATTGAGCCCAGAATCTAGTCAGCAAAGGCTAATCTACCCAACCCTGTCACCTGTAGGATATGATGTCCAGTAAGCACTGCGAGAGTAGATGAGTTATATTTGAACAAATATTTCTGTAATTATTGGAATTTTGCTTCTACACATTTTTCAAATTCCTCTGTTATATTACAGTGACATACAATTGTTTAAAAATCCCCAGACTCTTTTTCAATACAGCATATTTTTTCTGAAAATCACATTTCTAGCTAGATGCCTTTTTGTATTTCTACAAATGACTAATTACAATATATGTTCATTTTTTTGCCAACATTGTGTATACAATTTTGTCCATGCGTCTGTATGTGTGGCTTTAGGAACTCCTTATGAATCATTCTTTCTTGCGTTGCCAATGAGCCCCTCTCCTATTGGCTGGCCTGGTGGGGGTTGGTGGGATTGAGGTGCTAAGAGGCAAGATAAAAGGAGCAAATGTCTCTTGTTCTGCTTACTCACAGAAACACACTCCCCACGTGCCCGGCTGTCTGTTTGTCTGTCTGCAAGTGTACACAAAACGAGGAGGCAAGGATTTAATATATAACCAGCGCTGCTGAAGCTCTCACCTGAAAGTGTAAGTAACACATGCACACACAAGCATCCATACAGGATATCTAATCCTATTTGAGATAAGGCTAAGGATAAAGGCTCTGCCATTCAACAGGAGAAAAAAGACCTGCACGCTGACACACTTGTTGAGCGATACAGCAGTAGAGTAAAGCAGGGGGCAATGTTCATACACCTTTGTCCTGTTTGAATGGGCAGTGTGGTGCAAATGTATACTTGATTCAATTCCATTTTTCCCCACATTCTATTAATTGTTTTATACCGTGGAACTGTGAGGGATTTGTTTCCAGATTATGATATCTTCTGTATTTGCAGTAAATTTAAATGCATATTTCCTTATTTTAAGTCATACATTTGTGTATTGAAGGTATCACAGTAGGATGTCTTGGCAGGCTCTTTTTTAAACTGCTTACTGTGGTGTGACAAATTGACTGTACTGCTAATTTACTGTGGGGATGGGTTAGAATTTACTTTAAAATATAGACATGCTCTTTGGTCACTACGGTTTTCTGTTCATGTCAGACTGTAGTGAATGTAATGAGTAAGCTCTCAGATGGCTTAGGACTGGGTAAGAGGGTCAAGAGTCCACACATTCATTTCATATGTGCGGGCTTATGCAAACTATCAGCAGCATGGCTTAGCATCTTTCTGCATTTGTCTAGCAGCATTTGTCATGAAATGAAAATATTATTATATCTCTCACATTAGGGTTAAATCTTCTCAATAAATCTTCTCTCATTTTTGATGATGTTATCAAACTAAATAACTTTTAAAAACATTAGTCCTGACAATTGTGTGCATTTGTATTATTCATTTATTTGTTGGACAGATAAAACATTAGTTGAGCGGGTTACTGCAGTCTGATCTCGATGTCAGAGTACAGCATTGTAAATACGTTTGGAGTGTATAAAAATGATGTCTCTACATGATAAAAATAATCATTACAGATTTTAAAAAAGTGCTTGGAAACTCCATACAATATATTCAAATATGCTGTCATCAAAAGCAAATGCTAAAAGAATGCATAATTTCTGTGTTCTCCATCAGACTCATCATGGATGCTGCAGAATTCCGTCGCAGAGGCAAAGAGATGGTCGACTACGTGGCTGACTACCTCGAAAAAATAGAAGAACGCCCAGTGTACCCAGATCTGGAACCAGGATATCTTCGTTCTTTAATCCCCACTGAGGCTCCCCTGGAACCTGAAAGTTATGAGGACATCATTCAAGATGTAGAGAGGGTCATAATGCCAGGGGTTTGTGGACATCTTTTTTTTTTTCTTTTTATCATTGCAACATCAGTCACTCATGCCATTTACTTGTGGCATAACCCCAATCCTTTGATGTTTTTGTTCTTTACAATGATTAAATTAATTGTATGTTAATTCTCCTAATATGGTAGTTAAATGCTGATGAAAAGTAGCATTATAGTGATTCCCAGTGGAGAGCTGTGGGGCCATGGCTTGGTTTCTTATTGATTTCTGCATGTGTTATCTTTCTCCAGGTCACCCACTGGCACAGCCCAAACTTCTTTGCTTACTTCCCGGCAGCGTCCTCTTATCCTGCCATGCTGGCGGATATATTGTGTGGAGCCATAGGTTGTATAGGATTTTCCTGGGTAAGAAATACAACTGTATTTCTGTATCTCTGTAAATCAAGACTGTCATGCATGTCTTTATCGTAACAATAAGCTTAAACATAATCCTTTGGAAGGGCAGCACGGTGGTGTGGCGGTTAGCACCGTTGCCTCTCAGCAAGAAGGTGCTGGGACCTTTTTGTTTGGAGTTTGCATGTTCTCCCTGTGTCTGCGTGGGTTCTCTTAGGGAACTCCAGGAGGAATCCCATCGTCCAAAAAACATGTACGTTCGGTTCAACGGGAACTCCAAATTGCACCTCTGAGTGAATGTGAATGTGTGTGGTTGTTTCTGTGTAGCCCTGTGAGGGACTGGTGACTTGTCCAGGGTGTACCCCGCCTCTGGCCAGTTGTCAGCTGAGATAGGCTCCTGTGACCCCGATGGGAAAAAGCTGCATGGAGAATGGAAGGTTAATCCTTTGGATTTTTCTCTTTTTGCGCTGCAGGCTGCCAGCCCGGCCTGCACCGAGCTGGAGACGGTGATGTTAGATTGGCTGGGGAAAATGCTGCACCTTCCTGAGTGTTTCCTCGCTGGGACAAGTGGACATGGAGGAGGTGTCATTCAGGTAAATGTCTTTTTCTGTATGTACATTTGTTTAATGTGTTCACAACCTGCACCGATGGAATGCGCTGACTGATGCTCCAAAGTGTGTTCTCTATTATGCAACGGAGCGGGTGGTGAAGATACTCATACTACAATAAAAAAATATGTTAGATATGATCCAGAGGCAGAAGTGAGTTATTCAGTAATGTGGGTGTCCTCAACATTAGAAACAGGAGACCAAAGATGATGATCAGGGATCCAATTTTGAGTTCTGGATGCCTTCTCTAAAACGAAGGTTAAAATCTCAGTTATGTCCTTTCTGTTCCTAATTGGCAATTACCAAAACAAGAAAAACAACTGGTACAAATGTTTAAATATCTCTTATCTTATGGTGCCTGGCACCCACGCAGATTAGATAAATAATTGTCAAGAAAAGTCAAAATGACAAGCAAAGATTAGTGGATTTATTACTTCTATACAGCTATCTATTGAGGGACATTGGAACTTGGGTTAATTTAAGTGGATAGCAAAACTGTCAGAAAAATAACTTCCCACCATAAATAAGAGAAACAAGTGACCCATTTGTCCTTCCACAATTTCTCAACTTTTCATGTCAGACTGATGTATATTGATGGTGTTTGTATGCACAAAAAAATCCTCTGAGCTGTTGTGCACATAATTATCGGCAATTTGCGTGCTATTGATTTGTTGTCCCTTTCTCTGATGCTGGCTCAAACCAGCTGGAAATTGGCAGGAAATTGGCTTTTAATGTGTCACTCCCAGACGGACGACAGAGATATGACAGTGATGGTGCTGAGATTGTTTCGTGTGGAAAAAGGCTAAGCATTAGTTTAGTGTTCCATTGACAGAAACAGAGAAGCAATAGCAGGGCACACTCCAGATGTGTGTGCGTGTGTGTGTTATTGAGATGGTGAATGGTGGAGCATGAGAGTGCACTCTGATGACAGATCATTTCATGCCTCCTCTATTGTGACCACCTGAGTGTGAGGACGTGTTCCTGTGTGTCTGGCTCATCATGTTTTTGTTTCTGTCTTGCCACTCTCCTTTTTTTGGAGAGCAGCTTACCAGCTCACTATGGCAACCAATGGGGTCTTCTCAGTGCAGCAGGGCTAATGAGTATTGTGGCAATCTATTGCCAGCCTATTTCTATAAACGTTGTGTCAACTCAAAGGGGAAATGGGATGATTTTTTCTTTTTTCAAATGTGACCTTAGAGGTCCCTTCTTTTACCCCTTTATGAGTTGGCGATTATGCCAAGAGGAGTACAAATCACACATTTTGCCTCACTTCAGTCTTTTGAAACAAATAAAAAGCAACTTCTCTTCATGCGTCACTCTTGGTTGTTGGGTACATTGCTTCCTATGGTGGTTCTGTTTGCTACTGCTAAAAGAAAGATTTGCAGTAGATTACGATGCTTATTGTGGTTCAATGTCAGCTCAATTACATTTGAGACAGAACAGGCCGTAGTTTAGTGTGCTATGCTAGAGGAAGATGGATAACAGCTGAAACACTGTACAGAGCAAAGAGGCAATGTGTGCTGGTAATCACATGTCAGGGTAGTATATTCTGTAAGACAGGAAGTGGACTCTGATATTTGGACTTAGTTCTGCTGTTGAGTTTTCAATCAAATGTTAGGTTTGATAAAATGATTTCCCTTGACCATTAAAATCACTGTGATGATGTGGGAGGTTCAGTTATTGCTGTTTTGTGGATGTAATTGGTGAAATTAGGTTAAAAAAAGTTTCTTCTGGGTGTCTGTTTTCATACCAGCTTCATATCTTATCTCCCTGATAGTGCCTCACACACGTTTCCAGCTATTATAGGTGAGGTCACATTTGCAAAAGGGTATGTTAGTTATCTTTATTCTGACCACTGCTTCACATGCTTCAACATTTATTTCCTAAATTGGGGTTGCAATTGAACTCTTAAGCTCATAACAATACCATTTGTGCTCCACTTTGAAACCAGTTTTTAACAGAGAATAATATTTGATAAACAGTTGAGATAGCACATGCACATCTTGCCATATTTAGTTCTGTTTATCCCTCACAATGAGGATCTCAATATCTTGGGAATGAATTTTCATAAACATTTACAGTGTCTGAGGAAGAGTCGTACATCTCTTTAAAACTGAGACATTGCATAGCCATTTCATCCAAAAACACGTTTTGTCACACAAACCACTTCATTTTTACGACATGAAGAAACCTGATATGGTATCTGTTAGTCGGTCTGCTCATTTGTGAGTATTGACTGAGTGATTTGAGCTTTTCATTGACTTTCATGTTATGATGTCCTCAGACACGTCAGGAGCAATGCTTTGAGTCCCCATGTTGACACAAAAAAATCACAATGGAAATCACGTCAAACACTTTAATCTATTTTAGTGTTGAAAAATAACCTAAATAATCATTTCAAAGGAATTTTCAGGTCAATTTAACCTTTAATCTTAGGTCAATTTAACTTGCTACATTTGAACTAGCTTTAAGCATCATGGTCACTCACAATTTGGTCCAGGAGTTCATATCAAAAGATTCAAGGTTTGTTTGGATATTAAATGGGAAATGTTATGGAAACCCTACGTTTAGTGAAAGATTTGTCCAAGTAAAACATTACCATCTACCATTTTATCTTATTTTGTCTGTTCCTCTGATTATTATTAAATGTGTCTATCAAATGAATTCCGCTTGTAATTTTCTATCAGGGCACAGCCAGTGAGGCAACCCTTGTGTCCTTGCTGGCTGCTCGCTGCAAAGCAGTCCGATGTGTCCGGGCAAAGGACCCCAAAAGGTCTGAGACTGAAATCCTCTCCAAACTAGTGGCGTACACCTCTGAGCAAGTAAGCAATGAACATCCTTCCTGTTTTCTTTGCATCACTTTTTTAAACTGCTTTGTTCTTACTTTACTGATTTTATTAATCTGCAAATTATGTTGGTGTTGAAAACAATAAGTCAAATAGTTTTGCTGCAAATCTTCATAAAACTCTTGATTAACCTCCCAACGGTACCATAAAAAGACCAAACAAAAACACAATAGGTACATTAAGCTTCTCACTCATACAACAGAACTGTGCATTTGTTGGCAGTCAGCAGCAGTCCATGTAGGTTTTTCAGCATTTGACTGAACAGAGGCTCAGTGAGGCGGCACTATCTTGCTCTGATCAGGTTTAATAGCAGGCTGACTGTGTGATTGGATTAGGGAGTTGCCTGGGGGCGACTCAGACCTTTACACAGAGTCCAGTTTTTATTCCTCGACAGGATGTTCAAAAACAGTGTTCTATTCTCAGTGACGGGCATTTCATAGGGAGGTGCTGACCTCATCAGTTGCAACCTGTTGCAGATGATCAAGTTGAAGTAAAGACGGAGTACCTAAATAAACATAAAAAAACTACTTGATGCCTGTGAAAGTCTAGATCTAGTTTAAGAGGTTGATTTATTTTAGACTCTTCTGGGACATAACCCCTTCATTTTAATTTACAACAATTTCTGGCTTTTGTTAAGAGAGAATATTGTTCTCAGTAAAGTGTTAGCTTCTTAAACAAATGCTTTTGGATTAGCTATCAGTCTCACTGTCAACTTTTCTTTCCTTGGAAGGCTCATTCCTCAGTGGAGCGTGCTGCTCTGATTGGAGCCGTAATGATGAAGAAGGTTCCTACGGACAGTCGTTATGCTGTCAGAGGAGATATGCTGAAGAAGATGGTGGAGGAGGACAAAGCAGCAGGACTCATCCCTTTTTATGTAAAAAAAAGGGCTAAAAAGCATTGCTCAAAGACGGCTAGTTTAAAGCATTGTTGGTTTTCTCTGAATCCAGACTTGTCTTTCACTGAAACTTTTCAGCCACATGTTAAATGTTTCATCCAGACACATAATTGCTCTTCAAGCTTGCAACCACATTGATGTAATTTTCTTGTGATGCAGCTGTGCTCACCCCGAGGCTTCTGCTGAGAGATAACAATGTTTGTGTTTAACTTGACGTTTGTCTTTCCGCTTAGTAACCAGTGGGTAACCGGACAGACAAATAAGTCTTATTTGTGTTATTTGCAGCTACATATCCCTATTTAGGCTTCAGTGGCCCAGCAGCTCTGAGAATTTGTGTCAAAACACAAGCATCGATGCCTTAATCCTACCTTTAGTATAATTTCAGAGTGCAAGATGGTGGAACAAACAAAACTCCTCAGGATGTTGATGATTTGCATGACTGTGTTTCAGTTCTGTGCAACACTTGGTACCACTCCATCATGTGCTTTTGATCACATCACTGAGCTGGGGCCCCTGTGTGAGTTGACAAATCACAGACACCACACATACAGGTCTCTTGATATAATTTGTACGATGATGTTTTTAATGGAACTCCAGATTATTGATTCTTAGAATGAAAAACAAAAATAAATGGAGTTTTCCATCACACTTTAAAAATATAGATTGTTAAATACAGAATATGGAATAACATTTATGTAGATAATACTAACCTACAATTTCTTATCTTTTGTAGGTAATAAAGAAAATATGTGGATGCACATTGACGCAGCCTATGCTGGGAGCTCATTCATCTGTCCTGAGTTTAGACCTCTACTAAACGGCGTTGAGGTGCGTGATATTTATATGAACGTTCATCACTTTGCCACAATCAGTAGCTCATTTACAGAAATTCTACAATCAGGATGCACAAGAAGTCTAACCGCAAAATAGAAAGAATCACATGGTTGATTTCCACGCTTGGGAATATTTTGGACAGGAATAATACGGTTTAATTGTGGTCAGAAATTTGAAGTGGACGTTTAGATTTTTGGTGCTTGTTAGTGCTGATAAACAGGAAGAGCACTTTGTGCTCAATTGGATGTGAAATATCTGTCATTGAATCTATGAAAGGAAATACTAACCTTATACTGCTTGAAAAGGGCATAACGTTAATGTCAAGGAGGAAGCATGCGAGACTGAGCAATAGGCCAACAATCGGAGAGGGGAGCGTTAATCTGCCTTTTGAGCCAGCCGAAGCTGGAGTTCCTCCCCAAGCTGTGCGAAGACACAGAGATAAGGACACAGTAATTTCCTGAGGCAGCGTTAGACCTTTATATCAGTGTTTATTAGACACCCCAGTTCAAACAATGTTGTTAGGTAAGACTGAGAAGGAAGGCTTGACCGTAAAATAACCAACATTTCTCTAATCTCCTCTATAAATGATACTATAGGGAAAGCGACTCTCCTGTCACATTTTCTTCATATAAACTTGTTGTTTTTGGTCTTCTTGAAAAACTCTCATAATGCAATGAGGTAGATTTGAGTAAGGGTCCTTCCTGATTGGGCCATTTAAAGGGGAGGTGTTTTAAACCATGTTTAATGGTTGTTGAATCTATATACTGCACAGTGCTGATGTTACATGACTTTGAATCGTTGGGAGTTAAGTGAAAATCGCTCACTGAGGACATGAAGGAGAAATCCGGTCCTTTTTGGATGAGAATACTGCCCTGCTTAAAGGTTGGTTGCTAGGATATAAGGTGTCCAGGCCCTTTATATCAGTCAGCATGGCAATTGTCAGCCAGGAGCATGCATCATATTGTCTCACTACGCTGTGTTATTGCATCCGTGGAGGTGGAGAAAAGGATATGAAAAAAGATAGCTAACAAAAAGATTGGAGCAGATTGGTAATGGCTTGTGAATTTGAGCAAACCCTACCAGGAGGAGGGTTATTTCCAGTAAGCCCCTGGTTGGATGTCCCTCTTTTGCATTTTAAACAAATGCATGCTTTAGTCTAAAACATATTTCTTGTGATGAGGCTTCTCCTGAGCCAGTTATCGCAAATAAAAAAATTCGGTTGTGTGTGTTCTTGCAAGAATAGTGACAAAAAGGGCAATGATACTAGTGGAATTCAATATTTCACCTGTATATAATTTTACAAAGCTCAAAGAAACACAAACCAATATGGCATTTTTTCTTGTTATTACTGATATGCGTTAAAATAGTGCACATTTAACTGTATTTTGTCTGTAATATGTGTGTTTTTGTTTTTAAAGCATGCAGACTCTTTCAACTTCAATCCACACAAATGGCTTTTAGTCAACTTTGACTGCTCCGCCATGTGGTAAGTTTTCCAACACACACCAAGCAAAAAGAGTACATTTTGGTCCTCATGTTACGCTTTTTGTTTTATTCAGGTGCACACTGCAGAAAGAATGCAGGCAAACTTATTGTCATGATGCAGTAAAAATATCTGTGGGAGAAGCAAAGAGTTTCTATTGCCATTTTTAGCATTAAGCTACGTTTACACTGTTTCTGTGAACATTTCCCAGTTTGCCTGAGCAGTGACTCATGATCCAACAAAGCAACAAAGAGTGCTGATATACAGTATATCTACCGATCTGTCATTTGGATGGTAAAAATAGAATCACATCTTCCACCTGCCCCTTCTGTCAACATTAACAAAAGTGGGCATGCTGCACAAAAGCTGGAAACATTTTTAGACGCCGGAATAAAATGAAGTGGAAAAGGCCATCGTAAAAACCTTATATAAACATTTGGCCTAAGTCTGGCTCTATGGGTTATGATTCTGAAGTCTGAAATCTGGCATATTTATATATATTTACACATATTCAAGGGAATATTTGGATAAAATGGGTTTAGATATTCGATAAATTTGGAAAAAATCAGAAATGCTTTTGCCTTGGTTACATAACAGTACTTTGAAAGCCTCCCTTATAATGGTGAGAAACCAGTCTTGATCATCATGGCTATCCAGAACAAATACAAATATTCTGAATTTGAAAAAGAAGAGCTGACTAACTGCTAATGTGGTTAATCCCAATATGGTGTATCCTAAATTGGAATTTGGAATCATTTTTTCTGTGTGGTGCTGACTATTGGATTATTGGTGAAATGTTCTTTTGCTGAGTGGCAATGAAGTACAGGCCAGTAGTGAAATGGAATATAATTTACTGTGGATCAATGTAGCCCAGACATTCTGCCAACTCTTATCTGCTTTAAAGTGGGTGATTAAGACCACATCCATTCCAAGAGATAAAACTTTTCAATGTATCAGAAACCTCCTATCAACCCTTATTGAGAATCTATGAATCTGTGTTGGAATTTGCTGGGAAAGATTTAAAAAAAATGTCTCCACAAAATGTACACGAACAAGAAGCCTCCTATTATAATACCATGTGGCTAACAAGAACTGACTGACTGTGAATAGCATCATGTAATACTATAAATACAAACCATCCATCTACATTTGATGAGTTATGGAACTTTTTAAAGGCAGAAGTTGAGAAAGATTTTTGCTCTGATGGGAAAACTCTGATCTGAACCTGCTCTGAATGTCTCTCATAGGGGAAATTTTACCAAGGATAAAACTGTGTCCTGTTTAGTGATTTAAAGAAAAAACCTTTTGATTAATATTTGTGGAAGACTTGGATTTAAATTAATCAATTCAGACCTGGGTAAGGAAAAATGACTGTTGTTTAAGACTTGGAGACAAGATCACACGGGTGTGCTGGCTGTTATGAATTTGATCCAAATACATGCGACTTTAGCACCAACGTTCCATTGAATGTTGAGCATATTGTTGGGTCCATTGTTTGAATTACAAAAAGCTTTTTTTAATGTTATCTCACTGACATTTTCATCATCAAATATTATAGCCTCTCTATTATTCTTCAACAGGGTGAAGGAGAGAACAGACATCATTGGAGCCTTTAAAATGGAACCCCTTTATCTGAAACATGAAAACCAGGAATCAGGTATTTTCTTTCTATTTATGTACAGCATTTAGAAATAACAACAACATATATAATCCTGTAAACTTTACAAGCAGAAATCTTATACATACACAACGTGTTCTGATTATTGTCCCTCGTTGAAAACTGTCTTGTCTTAGCCTGCAGATGGGCTCAGATTTGTACTATAATTTGCCCGACTGAGAGGGAGACAATGAAAGATAGACAGCTACCTCCCACCACAGCGAAGCACCTCACAAAAGCCCTTGCTCACACAATCTGGACTCTTCAATTTAATTAGTGCTTATTAGCTCAAAGTAATACAGGCCTTCGTTCTGCAGAGATGAGGTACGTTTAGCCAAGTGGCCTGTGAGAAGTGACAGTGCTGTGATCAGAGAGATAGAGGAGGTGGGCATGGTGATAGCAGGCAACACCTGGGCTGTGTAAGACAATCCCATGTGACCAAAGTAAAATGTTTAGAAAAGAGAAGTCCTACTGCCAGAATCACAACCGTAAACAGTTAGATGAAGTTATATATTGCAATAGAACCCCAGTCAACTCTATAACATAACCATTAACATTAACAGCAGCATGTTTTTTTTTTCTCCTAACAGGGCTTGTGACAGATTACAGGGTAAGAAAAATAAAATCCGTCCCTGATCATGACATCAACAGTAAACAGCAGTAATCACTCTCTAATGTCATCCTGAAGCACTGGCAGATTCCACTGGGAAGACGCTTTCGCTCACTAAAGATGTGGTTTGTGTTTCGCATGTATGGACTTCATGGCCTACAAGCTCACATAAGGAAGGTAAGAATGTCCAACCTTTTATTCGGCTCCACACCTATGTCTCGGTCTCAGCATGGAGACTAACCTGAGGTGGTCAAAAGCTGTAACGAACTGTTTTTGAAATACTGTTTAGTGAAATTGGATGCATTCAGACCATAGTGGTGAGTTGTTCTTCTCCTGAACATTTCCCCTCTGTTCTCTCTCCATCTCTCCATCTCAAAAGCATTAATTTATATTTTATTCTAAATTGGGGCCCTCACATGTAGTCCTTCAAACATCTAAAGTCCCTTCTCCCCAACTCTGTTTCCACCACTGTATCCTGTCAAGTAAAGCATTTTGAGAAATAAAATACAAATTAATGTTTCTCCTGTATTATAAGTAGGTGACTGCACAGGCAATGAGATCACTCTTGTTTATTAGGTTGGAAATAGTGGTGTTGTGTTGTTAGAAAAGAGGAAAGAAGATCCTGGTCAGTTACTTGTTGCTAATTTGATCCCAGTGTCTGAGGAGCTGGCACGAAAGAAGAAATAAAGACTGCAGTAGAGGCTGGCCCTTCTAACCATGAGGCTTACTTCACCTTTCATCCAGTGTCTCAGTGGCTCTTTGATCTTAAGTGGACAAATTATGCCGTAGGACCATGTTTGATCACACAGTGCCATGAAAGAAACAATGAAAAAGATATATTTCAAGCTAGTGAAATGACATTTCCTAAGAGCAGAGTTTGATGATGGCATTTTCATGGCTTTTGAGTTATGAGTTTGAAATCCTTTGATATGTACCCACCAGGAACTGCCTCTTATTGAGATGTGACCTATCACACAGTGTGATTGTGTATAAGATGCATTACCTCAGTTACAGTAACTTTTAGTCCAAAGTATCTGGACACCACACAGATTGAGTGAGTTTTGTTCTGGAGTTAGTAAGAAGCAATCACCAGTTATTATGGTTACACAACGCTGCCATCTAGTGAAAATCATACAAATTACAGTCTGTGTGTTCCTGATGGATATGTTCTGTTCACAGCAAGTGGCCCTGGCCAAAGAGTTTGAAAGTCTTGTGCGAGCAGACAAGAGGTTTGAAATCTGTGCAGAAGTCATTTTGGGATTGGTCTGCTTCCGGCTCAAGGTACTAACACAAAGATGATCATGAGACCCCCACTCAGCTTTTTCTTGTACTTTGATGAAATACAAAACATGTTACCTAACATGTAAGCCAGACTAAAGTTGTGAATCACGGTTTCTATTCCCTTCTCGCTCCGCTCTCTCAGGGCTCCAATGAACTGAACCAGGACTTGCTGAAAAGGATCACTAAGAGTAGAGAAATTCACCTGGTGCCCTGCCAGCTCTCTGGCCGCTTTGTCCTGCGCTTGGCCATCTGCGCACGCACAACTGAGTCCCGTCACATCCACCAAGCGTGGAGGCACATCACACAGCTGGCCTTTGAGCTTTTGCAGGAGCATCCTCAGTAACCAAAAACCCGAGAAGGGGCTGTCCACTCTGTTGCTTAAAGGAGGACCAAAATTTGGACAGAGGTTTTCGTGATATTTGAAATGAAATACCTGTCCTTGTCCATCTATTTTCAACACATCCTTTGTGACATGATTTAGGGGTTGACGAAGGCCTAACCCTGCTGTAATCAGGCAAAAGCTGACAAATGGTCAAAAACAGAAAAAGATACAGGTCCAGCTTATTTCATTTTAAATCTGCAACGTCTTCAGTCATTGTATGTGCTTCTATTTCACTATTTGGCGTTATGTCATTGTTCTCATCATAGTGCTCTTATCTCCCTCCAGTGGCCTGTCGTGTTCCTTCTGGTGTCGAACATGAACTGAGCAGATGAACTGAGTGTGCGTCTTCAAGTTTTGTAGGTACTCATTCAGACCCAGCTCCCACATGTTTAGCTCTGTACTCCAGTATGTTAGTTATTAAATGGAAGTGTCAGGTTAAACAATACCAATTTTAAATTGTCAGGTTAAACCATTTTATTTGTGAGGTTATTTATTCTCAATCTAAGTTGAATTGTCTGAAAGGATTGAAAAAGGTATTATGCTTTCATATGGTGTCTAATGCACAGTGAGCCAGAATTTTCCCAACTGTTACACAAGACTATCACTCTATAGTTAATGGGAATTAATGGGATTGAGATTAAGGATATTTGGTTTTGCTTATAAAATAACCAGGTAAGGGTTTCCTATTCAGAGACTCTAATTATAGATCAGAGTTTAGTTCAAGAAAAAGTTTAAAGCATGGCTTTTGCATTATTTAACTCCTTGGCTATATGCAGTTTTTCAGTGCCTGTTTAGCCAGTGATGTTGATTGCTTTGTGCACATTTCTGACACCTTCTTATCACATAGTATATATTTAAGATGTTTAAAGGATCACGGTTTATAAAAGATTATATCAAGAACAACTGTGGATAATGGATAATGGCATGTTGATTCTCATCATCACCACATGTAATTCATTCACTTGACTTTGTGGAGATCACCTTTTGTTTCTGATCTGCTATTTTTTCTTTATCTTAGCGGTGGACTGCATGCACTATTATGGGCTTATTTGAATAAAGTCTGCTGTAATCTGGATGGTGTGATGGTGATGTGTGTATGATCACACATTTATTAAAATTTATCCTGCACTTGAGCATATATTACACAACCTATGGTGTACCTTTGTTCTTTTTTTATTTATCAGTGGTTCAGATGAAGAGTAGAAGTGAATGGGCATAAGCACAAGAAAGAAAAAAGTCCTAACAAACAAGATTTAAAAAATCATGGTTTGCATTATCAACTATTACACACTATAAAGAGTGTTCCCAATTGTTATATTGAAAAAGCAGCATTTGATTGTTTTGATAACATTCATCTGAAAAGTGCTTGATTAAAGAAGACAGGCAAAAACTAATTCTCGTACCATACTGTGCCAGTCAGCCTCCTCTAAGCATACTAATCCCAGAGGACAAAGGCCAGCCTTCTATAAATAAAGATAAAGATTCAGTATTAGACTAATTCTTAGTCCCTGATTAATGGCTGGCTCATTCAGATGCTCCAAGAGGTGGTGTGACTAAAGTTGCCGGACAAGATTGGTCTTTAAAATCAAACTAAAAGTATAATTTGGTGATATGGAATCTATCCTTTCTTAGAATTTGATAAGAAATCAGCAAAAGAAAAAAATGTCATGGTCATCCTTTTGTTGTTCAGACTAACTGGTTTCAACAGTGATGGACACACAAGTGATGGACATTAGGGACATAATAATGCTATTCCAAAGGTCTGCATTCAAGTACTTATAATGATGTACTTAACCCATATAACCTGTATGAATAAAAGATGTGCTTTCACCGGACCTTTGTTGTGCTTAGTGAAATGCACACAATAGAAATGACACACTGGAAGGATTCACTCTGGGAAGGTTGTCAAATAAAAATATATCTCATCCCACTCCTTTTGAATGAGATGTGCGTATTGTGGTGTGAAACCACATTTTCTGTTCATGAACAATTCTTCCAAAAACAATATCATCTTAAAGAAAATGTTGCTCTGTCGATAGAAACAAAACCAGTTCCCATAGAAGTTACAAAGTATAAGAATACTGATATCTGAATGTCATTTTTATAAATGAAAATAGCTGAATGAAACAAGATAGGGTTCACTGGTGTTGACTGACATAAGTGCAAACATCACCTCGCTTTTCCCCTCATCCCTTAACCCTCAACAATTGAAGTGGTGTGCTTTTATGGCCGTGCCATTACTGACTTTTTTAAGTGATGATCTAGGGCATCAAATGCTTTTAGAATTATAACAGAGCCACTCATTACAATAAAATATGTATTTGAGCTCTTTAGGCTGAGCGATAATAGATGTTACGAAGCACTCTATATTGCTCAGCTGCAGTAATATCTAACCAATGCTATCTTTTGTGCTTTTTGTTTTTAGCTTCAGTATTACTGTTATACTGTGTAGCTTATTTATGCATATAGCAAAACTATCCAATTGATATACAACTTGACAGTCGTATTTTCCAGTTTGATCACAAGAGGACGCCATTAAACATGTACTTCAGGCACATTTTATCAACTGAAACCTTACAGCTCATAGTCTTATTTGAGAAAGCATGCCGCAGCCAACATTATGAATTCAAAATGTTTAACTTCCGAGAATTGCAGCACTCCAAAAATCTGACAGCGGTGTTCTTACAGTATATTGCATGTGCAAAGATTTATCTAACTGAAGCAAGTTATATCTCAGTGTTTCTAAATGACAGTTAGCATTATACTATCCCTATTCATGGTAAATGAAAACTTTTCATATATCCATTGATATATCATTAATGGACATATTTCAGACTGCACAGAATATATCTATTAATGTCTATTAATGCCAATTTTTAAATCACAAACTGAACTGAAACTGTTTAAAGGAAAGAACAAGTCTAAGAAAAGCCCAAATGACCATATTTCAGTCCTTGTAACAAAGATCAGTGTGATGCAGGTTGCCACTGCTTGGCTTGAGCTGGGTGGCCCTCAGCCATCTGATGTTTGAGGTTATGTACTGAGAGTTTGCCCAAGAAAACTTCTTAATACACTTGGGATTGTTTAGATTGAAAACATTATTATCCAGCAGCCATCAGCACATAGTCATAGTTACACTTGACAGCTCACATATCGCATAACATAAGCAGCATTTAATGCCTTGTTTTGAAGTGTACTGTAATTGTACTTTTACGCTAATACTCATAATTCTATTAGGATGAATTTCCTCTGTGAAAAGTCAATATGAGCGCAATAAGTGTCTTTGCTGTTTAAACAAGATAGATATATGAGATTTCATTTTTGAGGAGGACCTCTATGTAGTGGTTGAGTCTTCAAGCATATCATGGTAGCAGTTTGCTGTTTGCTCTTTTGCTGTGACAACCACAAAGAAACATCCTCCCTCAGACAGAAGGGGGGGGGGGCATAAAGGGAAATGGAGTGGGCTGGATGTAAGTGCACCAGCCCACACATTAGAAACCCACACATTAGAGGCGTCAGGGATCATTTTCTGCTAAATTGATACAGCATCATCCTCCCATTAAGTCCAGTACATGTGCACATATGAGCTAAATGTATCGCTCTTGCTCTGATGATAATGAATAAAAATCCTGACTGACATAGTGGGACTTCTAAAACAGAACACAGCTGATATAAAGTCACTGTATTACAACAACATCAATGCATCACAATAGCATGTCAATTTATGTAGATAACATCAAATAGCTGTGCCCATAAGATTGATGAAACAGATGGCTCCGCATTTGCTGTACATTGCGGTTGTGAAAGTGAGTTTGTTAGCAAGAGAAAAGCAAATAGAGCACAGCAACTGGAATTATGTTAAAACATAAGAGAGCTGGCGAAACCACTGCTGCCAAAAAGATGCCTTGAGACAGCCATGCGCCTCTTGTGGATATAAGGTTAATCTGTTGTATGATTGCTGTGACCACAACATTTCCTCCTGAGATTAAAAAAAAGCAAAAACAGAGATCAGGATGCTGATAACATCTTGAAAGCAGACATGAAGCAGATTTGCTCGTATTTAGTGAGACCATTTCTAGGAAGACCTTTAAATTTCAATGTACTCAACAGTCCTAATGTGCCGTGAGAAAGGCAGAGAGAGCTTGTAGAGAAGGCAAACACCATCATGTCTTTTAAATTTAAAACAAAAAAAAGCAAGTGTTTATTTTTTCCCCAAGATAATGATTTATCTTGTTTTCATATTTACAATTAGTTGATGTGGTTATTTTTCTTGTTAAAAGAAATTGACAATTTAAACGTTAGATAATCCTGATACAAATTTAATGGTAGCAAAATACCCTAGCCAATGAAACAAGGGTCTTGCATTGACACGTATTCCAAATAATTGGTTTTGTCAAACAGAGAAACACATTGGTGTCACCATTGTAGTATTTCTAATCTCACAGCAATAAAGTTAGGGTATGGATGAAAAAAACACACATCAAAGTGTACAAGAGCATTTAATGAGGGGTCATTCTAATTATACCCTTTGGGTCCTTTGAGCAAGTGTCTCCAAGGAATAGGCATGCTAACCACAAATACCATCAGCTCCATTCAAATTGGCTCCTATGAGGTTTGGAGGCTTTGGATGTTTGAACTCCTCATGCGTTTTTTCTGTTCTTTTCCTGTTCTAATACTGTTTTTGCGAGGCCCATTGCAGATGTGCTCAGGGAGGCTGTTCGTGTAGGAGTAACAGGTCTTGACAGGTCTTCAAAGATGGGTTGGATGCAAATGCATATATGCCTCCATGCATTTGCATGTAAATATATATATGCATGCAAATGTCATGGCACAGGTTTTGCCAGCAAAGCACTGCACCATAGCAGCCAATATAGTGGTTTTGATGTAGTATACTTGAAGTATAGGTTTACCTTTAATAGCAATGGAAGGGAGGATATTTAGTTTTCTAGTGATGTTTGCCATATATATAATGTATGTTGTGACATCAGGAGAAATATAAGACAATTTGTTTGTGGCTAATGTGTGTCACATATTTTCTTCTATGATTATACAAAGAGAGGGCAGTAAAGACATTATGCCTTCATTTTTCTAGTTCCCTTCATTAGAAAAGCTGCAAAAACTTTGCAACATCTTTAGTGTATTTGCATGACAGTGCAATGGAAACACCTCAGTATCTTTTGCTCTAACAGAACAACCACAGCAACGTGGCAGTGGAAAATGTATAGAGTCAGGAAGCTTCTTCTATATCCTGTCTTTGTGCAAATCTAATTTTGAAGGTACTGCCTTTCCACTTCTTTGTAAGTAGCTGGTTTCAGGTCTCATGATATGTAACTACAAAATACTCAATATGCTGTACACGAAGTCCATGCTGAAGTAGTCAGGTAATTCACTTTCACTAAAGGATCCCAGCCCAGAGACCAGGATACAACTTATGTTGATGTGTTATGGATGAGTTATTTATTTAAATCAAGAAGCAAGTCATACAAAGTATTTTGGCAGATATAGAAATAAAGAAAAATACAGGTGATTAGTATCAATTGTAAGTGATGCCATGACAACATAAACTATTTTAGTCATTTTTAAACCATTGGAAATCTGACCATCATCTTAATGGAAACCACATAAATGTTTTTCCTAATTTTCAATATCGATACTTAGGTTTGTACAAAGACAAGCAAACCAAAACACAATTACCTGTCAAAGTCAAACCTTTGATAGTTTTTTCTAAAACTGTGAAATGCGTAGGGATATATGTGGTGTTAATTCATAGTTCATTGCATGGTTTAGCTTCCCCATATAAACAAGTAACTGATTCCTAAATCAAATTGATTTCTAAACAATGATGCAGGTCTGCTAAAAATACAGATGAATCCTGATGCTCATACAAAAACATGCAAAGCAATTAAAACACTACTTTCAACACTTTGCTGTCTGTCTTTGCTATCTAAACAAACATCCTGGTGTAAAGCACAGCACAATATTTTTCTTTTGAAATAATCCCATGTGCCAGCCACCATGACTCATGTTTTTCACATCAATGACTCACAGCTCCACGGTAATAACTTCATCCATTCACAGACTGGGGAGTTTACAGGTATTACCATATCCGTCTTGAAGGCTACTCTCGAAATGATTTATGTCATATCCTTTGTCCCTCGAGTCAAGCCTGGCAAGTCTGAGCAGACTTGGTGATAATCTGTGCAGCAGATACTCATCCATTCTGCACTTGGTGTGACTGATTATATCAATTAACTCCTATACTGCTCCTTCTCAGCTCTTTCTCATTGTTTCATTCATGCTCTCATGTGCTCAGGTTGTACTCTGTCACCAGGCACTGTCAGTAAACAAGGTGCACCCTTGCTGAGCACTCCAGGCTGGCTGCTCTGCTATGCCAGTAAGTGGGGAGTGGTGTGCATATACTGCTCCTCCCATTTCTGCTCTCACCCCCATTCTTCATCCTGTTAGTGTGCACCACTTGTGTGGGTACTCACTCTTTTGATGTCTCTTGCTCACAACACCCTCTCCAGTGCTCTTCCTCACTTCCTGTGCAGCATCGCTGCTCACTCTATTTCTTCATCCCCTTTTCAGAGTCATCTAATTATTGGTTCCAACCATACCAATTCTTACTTGTAAAGCAGCTTTCCAAGGTAAGATATGAACACACTTCATTACAACCTGAGATCGATCTATCTATCTATCTATCTATCTATCTATCTATCTATCTATCTATC